AAAATCCAAGTAATTTCTTTTTAAATTGCAAGACAGAAGCTTCAAGAACGTGGCAAATTTACAAATTAGTCTGTAGGTATGTTTTCTGGAGTAGATGATGATGGATTGGGACATGCATTCAAAAGAGAAGCTTGAATAGTTCGTGGTGCGTGTGTGTATTTTTATTTTGATGGAAACCTCTTGAGCTGCTTCGACGCAAACTGTATTTCTGTATCTGTTATGTCTTCAGAGCTGTGGGGAGGCTGAAGATGAAGCCAGGGAAGGAAAACAGCAGCAGAGCACACACAGACACGAGCCACCTGGCTTCTTGCCATTATACATGACATTCAATTATTTTAGTACTTTTTCATGAAGTTTTCCCTCCACCCATCTTTCCCTCCCCTCTCCAGATCCTTGCTTTTCTACATTTGGCATGGTTCATCTGATTCAGCACGCATTGTTCCTAGCTGTACTTAGCAATATGCCTCAAACTCTAGCCGCAAAAAGAAAGTGCTAAGACTGAAGTTCTTGCAACCCTATCTTGACATTCCCACTATTGCCATAGAAGTGTTTCTTTCAAGAAGCTGAGAAAGAAAGGAACTAGAATGTTCTACATATTGCTTCAACTGCAGCTTTGATGTATGTACTCAAAATATTTTTCATTTCCCAGAATATATTCTCTTGGGGGAGGGGAACATTAAAAGCAGCTTTTGGACCGTGAGAACTTTTTTTTTGTAATATAAAATAAGTCAAGCTGACAGAGAGCCAATCTCTTATCTGAACTTTACTTATCTGAATTTACGTGTGTGCATCCCTGTCTGGGGGAATCAAATAGTCATTTCAGTGGACCTCTCAACTAGTTTTAACTTACTCGATTATTTCAATTCTAGGCTCCAAAGGGAGCTAAATAAAGAAAAAAACCACCCCAAATTGCTGTGTTTGGGGAGTGGGCACCTAACAACAACAGCAACGACCACAAACGGATTGCAGGAATGTTAGCTGTAACTTCAAGTCAGAGCATCAGAGTCACTTCGCAAAACGGCCTTTTCCCCATTAGCATCTGACGGTGCCAGGGGAATGAGGAGAAAACGGCGTTTTCAAAGAGATTGAGACTTGAATCTACAGTAGGTCTGTTAACCCTCATCCTTTGGCTTTCTGGACTGGACACATTACTGATTGACGCCCTCCGCAGGCGCTGGTCTGCATTCCCATCAAGGAGACGTGACTGAACAAATGTCAAGGTCTACACAGCACTCAGAGAGCTGAAGGTACTGGCATCCTAAGACGTCCTAAGTTTTGTTAGGCTTTACAAGAAGCTGCTGCCCACCCCCACCCCCATCCCCATCCCTTTCCTACCCCCTCTCACTGCACTTGCCACCATGGCCACTGAGAAAGTTCAGATTTGAAGGAAGCAGAGGAGAAAAGGAGTTACAGCAGCTTTATTCCTTATTCCTAGATTTCTTGACTGACATGAAAGAAGGGGAGCAGCATCCTGAGTTTAGAACCCAGGCTCAGAGTGTAGAAAGAAACAATACTCTCAAAGACAAAATAGAAAGGTGGGACAAAGGAGGGACCGGTAGCCTGGGGGTGCTGGACTGGGCCTGCTGAGATAAAATCCCTATTAATAAACTGGGTCTTACTGGCCAGCTGATAGTTCCTCAGAACATTGACCCCTGGGGTCCTGGCCAAGCTGACTGGTTGCAATTGAGAGTTGGGATAAGGAATGAGGATTAGGAGTGGTTTTAAAAGCCAGCTGAGGAGAGAAGAGTTATGCGGGGGTTTGGGTGGAAAGTACTTATCGAAGTGCTACGGTTAATTGCTGAGAAAGGTATCCTGAAAGCATCAGGCAGAAAGAGCCCTGGTAGATCTTACAGAAGGAGAGATACCCTCCAATCTGTTTTCGGCTCTCTTCTTGCGATGTGCAGAAATCATGTAATTAGTATTATTTTAATTAGCATTATTCTAAATGTATTATTAACGCTCCAATGGCTAGAGCTGTGTCATTACCATAAACTCCATCTCAAACTCTCAAAATCTATTTAATGCAGCTTTTGGCAACCAGAGACCCAATTTCTTGCCAAAAGCTGCAGATTAAGCATTCGTTATGGGAGTCTGCCATTAGCTGTTCGTTCTGTTATGGGCACAAGCGGTTACATGTCCCTAAACGCACAACATTCCGAGTAATAGATTTGCGTTTGCAGAAGGCTCCAGGGATATTAAGTGTGGTCGGTAACACCTTGCACCCATCCCTCCAAGCACTCCCATCAGAAATGGGTTTGAGGTATGAGATGGGAACGGTTTATTCAGCAGCTATCCCCCTTGGCTGCTCTGCAGTTTCCTCTATGAGCTGGGTCTTTATTGGTATACAAGTACTCTAGAGCTTGCATCATATGTCTTTCATTTAAACTACATCGAATGTTTTTCAGGAAATTTAGGGCTCTTAAGACGCATATTTATAAACAAGCTGACAGAGCTCTACGACATAACTAAGTTTACAACTAGGAGTTGTTTGTATATTTCCTCAAGTCAGCAAGGCGTTATTCTTGCTGCTGTGAAAAATTTAAAAACCTATTAAATGACCGTTTCTTTAATCCTCTCCATGTTTATTATAGAAAGTTAGATTTTCAGAGTATCTCTGCAGGTAAGATACAGAGGGGGCTAGAAGAGAATCAAAAGTCATCAACCCACACAGAAATGAGTGGATAACTCGACACCCAACTTTCCGACGGGGGCAGCTCAGGAACGAGCTAGAAAGTACCCTGCCCTGGAAACGCATGGGGGCTAGTCTGTCTTAAGCGTGGTCCAGACGCCTAGGGCACCCTCCCGCCTGCGTTCCCCGCCCCCCCCCCCCTTCTGCCGTCGATGCCAGGATTATTCCCGCTCCTTCTCGAAGTCTGGCTATCCGCTGGAGCGCAGTCCCGGAAAATTTTTCTTTGACCGCGCCCACTTGAGATTTAACGTTTCGCTGTAGGTGCAGGTTGCGAGGCTCGGGAGTTAGCAGTAACAATACAGCAAAAGCCATGTAATTCCAGGAATAACGTCAAGTCTCCAGGACCCCACAGCCCGCTCAGGTCCCTGCTGAGCGCGGCGCCACGTGAACTGAGCTTGCGCCCCGACCCCTCCTCGGGAGAAGTGTCCCGGATAAACGGAGGCTGCTGCCCCGGGCGGCCCGCTCCGGCCCAGTTCGCCCCGGTCTGGGTCCGCGGCCCGCCCGCTTCTGGGGCAGCGCTGAGGAGCCGCTCAGAGGCGCGCAGAGGTGCGCCGCGTTCCATGGCCGTTCCTCGCAGGCTGCGGCCTGTCCTGGCCTCGAAGAGGGTCTACCAGGGAGTCTTGGGCCAGCCAGTACCCCCCCCCCCAAAGAGGCTGGAAATTCTCGAAGCCGTCCGGATGCCTGCCAGAGTCGGACGTGGCCTCCCCGCTCGCGGAACCGGGCTGCCCAGTTTGCCCAAGGCCGCGGCGTCGGTGCCAGGCTGGCCTGGGGAAACGCGACGGGCGCTGCCAAGGCCCGTGCGAGAAAGGCTGTCAGGACGCTCGAAGAGAGTCCTCCCTTGGGAAGCAGCAGTCCACAGACCCCAACTTGTGGGACCTTTTCCCCAAATTTGCCAGGTCAAGAGCCTGTGGCAAATGACTGCCTTTTCGTGCCCAAGGCGGGGAGCACATTTCCCTCAGACGCCGCGGGCTTCTCTCAAGCCTGAGTCAATCGCAAAGCCACACGTGGGGGGTTTCAATCCGGCTGTGCCGTCCTGCCTTCAGGGAGCTGCCAGGTCCCCACGCACCCCAGCACCCCACCCCCCACCCCCCACCCCCGCCCCGGGGCCCGAACCAGGCCCCGGCCGGACCCGCGCCCGGAACGCCGCCCCGCGTGTGCGCCCAGGTCTCTGCGCGCGCCCCTCGCTCCGCACACGCGCGGTTCACAAGGACGCCGCCGCCACGCTTGAAAAAATTATTGTTTTAGAAACCAGGCTGAAGGCCTTCCCCCTTCAGAAGCCCCTTTGTGTCATGAGCCTCCCCCTGGTCTATTCTAAAGGGCCTTTCGGAGGAGGCACTTTTCCTTAATAGGTTTTCTTAAAATAATCTGGATCTAATGATAAAGTCGTGGAGCCAGGGGAGCGGTGCGGGGCACAGGGAGGAAAGGGTTGGTATGGGCATCGCGCTTTCGGTGCCCCTTGCTCAGCCTCCTCTCCCACCCGTCGCCAGCACGCCCGCACGCCGCGGCCTTCCAGAAAGAAAGCAAGGCCCGGGGCTCCTCCGAAGCGCCCAGAGCACCGGGACGCCGAGTCCCCCGGGTTAGAAGCAGAAGCGCCCCCCCCCCCCCCCCGCCAAGCCAGTTAAGAGCTGCCCACGTTCCTGGCTTCTTGGGATTCGGATTTATGTGGTTCTTCCACATAAACGATTTACGGATGAAATAAAAGCCCTTTAGAGCAACGCTTCCTTTCAAGTTCTTAAGACGCCTCTAAATCTTTCTGGGAGCGAGCGGCCGGCGTGGGGGCGGGGTGGGGCCCGGGGGTCGGGCCGGCCGCCCGGAAGCGCGCAGGGCGCCGGGAGCGGAGGGTTAACTGCTTTGCGATCTCACCAAGCTCTTCCGAAATGCCATTCCCCTGTCGCGGCGACACTGTTTCTGGGTGTCGGGGCCTCGTTCTTCCTGGCATTTGTCTGAAATGGAGCTGTCTGTCTAACCGAGGCCTGGACGCGCCCTGCCCGGGTAAGTGGGGGGAAGGTGGGGGTGGGGTGGGGGCGGAGGGGGGGCCCGGGGTGGAGTTAGTCGCCTGCCTATTTTCATATTCATTAGACCTGGGAGGTTGCCCGAAGAGCCCAGCTGAGTTTCAAGATATAAAAGCGACTTCGGGTGCCCCCGTTTCCAGCCGGGACCTATTAAAGGGCTCGGAGCCCGGCAGCTCCCGGCGCCGCCGCGCTCGCCTCCCCTTCCCTCCTCCGCCCTCCCTTCTCCCGCCCACTCGCTCCCTCCCCCAGCGCTCCGCAGCCTCCGCGCCCCGGGACCTCCGCAACCACCTTCCAGGATTATGGAGTTTCTGAGCGAGAAGTTTGCCCTCAAGAGCCCGCCGAGCAAAAACAGCGACTTCTACATGGGCGCAGGAGGCGCCTTGGAGCACGTTATGGAGACGCTGGACAATGAGTCCTTTTACAGCAAAGCGTCGGCGGGCAAATGCGTGCAGGCCTTCGGGCCGCTGCCCCGCGCTGAGCATCACGTGCGCCTGGAGAGAGCCTCGCCCTGTCAGGACAGCGGCGGTGAGTCGCCGGCCCGAGCCGCGGCCCCCGTGCTCACGCCCGGGTGCGGGGACGGGCGCGGACGGCTGGCCGGGGGGGAAGGGGGAAAGGCGCGGGGGAGCGAGGGAGCCGCAGGGCGGGGGGGGGGAGCGGGGGAGGCCGCGGAACTGTGGCGCGTTCAGGAGCAGTGTTTTGGCTGCGGCCAACTTTGAGGGGCAAAGGAAGGATGAGGCTGCGGGTTGCCTCTGCGCGGTGCTCCTTTAGCTGTCGAATGTGGTCCCTTACGGGTCCCCGAGTCCCTCTATCTGCGACCCGGGCGTCAACTGATAGGGCGGTACGTGGAGTGTAATTGAGTCAAGACAGCGCGCTGCCTCCGGGAGCCCGCCGCGCTGCCCCCGCAGGAGCTGAAATCGATCACCGCTCTTCAGAGGACGTCAGTGTCGTCGCGAATGGATCTTTGAGGTCCTAAAGATGAAGTCTTTTTTTTTTTTTTTTTTAATTTCCCAAGACATACCGGTATTTTTCTGTACGAAGTTGGAAGGTTGCTAGATTAGCTTGTGTGAGTGAAATTGTGATTGCTGATTGTTTGGGTTTTCAATGCAACGCACGTACATTTTTGTTAAAACACCAAATCGTCTTCAGTAGCTTCGGGTAAAGAATCTCCAGTATAATCCCCTCACCCCCCAATACCGTATTGTCTATTTTTCTGACTCCACATTAAAAGTCACCTAAGAACCCTTTCGGAATGCTTCTGGGTGAGATCCTCAACTTTGAACGGCCAAGTATCTCAAAGTCAAAATGTTATCAAAACAAACCATCTATCTTTTCTATCTTGTAACCCAATACAAACCTATTTTTTTCAGATCGCGACAGCTAAAGCAAGTTTACAATTCCAAAAGGACTTTTCCTTATCATTGTATATATTCCACAGTTAAGCTGTAAGGAGCGGGTTGCTTTAAAATAACAAACGAATTAAGTGTGAAATATTTACAACAAGCCTCCCGCCCCCTATTTTAATGGAGGGTCAAAATCTGGCAAGGTACTGGCTCATAGGGGCTCATTTTCGAAATACTTTGTACAAATTAAGTTTAAAAAAGATCTCCTATATTTTACTTATTCAGCGTTGCGAATTACTTGTGACTCGCAAGGTTAAACTAAAAATATAGGCGGGAACGATAGAGAAAATCAGTTAAATCGTTTCAAGTATATAGAGAGACAGATGCAGTTTTTATTTTTAATATGCTAAATTTTGGCTTTCCGGTTGTATTTCAGAATGCAGTAACTTTATTTTTGGAATTTTTTATGCATATTTAAATGGACAGGATTAAAAAAAAAACTTGACTCTCTTGTCCTCTGTTAACTGCTGGATAGGACTTCATCCTATTTTAAATTGTCGGGGATCCCAAATAGGAACAGAAATGGGTGATTTTTGGTACCTTAACAACTTTTAAACGAACATCACACTTTTAGGATGAATTTTAATAGGACAGTAGTAAGTAAGTTGAATGTGGGCAGCAGTTCGCTAAATTCAGGAAAGTTCCTGTCTTTCTCCTGAGATGCCCTTAGCCTCCCGACTGCTTCCCCTCCCCCATCCCTAATTACCGAAGTTCCCCATTTCATTCTGCCCAAGAAGACAAAACCGTATTGTTAATCACTCATGGCTCTTCTTTATATCCAGTTTTACACCACATCTTTTACATAAAGGGTATTAGGCATTTAAGTTATGTAGTTATTAAAGTTCGAAACATTTGTATAATCATTAGAGCAGTTGCTAAGATACATTATGAGCGAAATTAAAAATAGACAAAAACGAAAAAAGTGTGACAATTCATTGGAAATTATTGTTCTGGCTGGGTTCACTGGTTTTTTTTTTGTTTGTTTAAAATTTCATTATGTGCACCCATTGGATTTGTGTGTGTGTGCGTGCGTGCGTGCCTGTATGTCCACCATATGGTGTATTTTTGTTTTATAACATACAGCAAGCATGCAGTCAAATCTGGAGGAAATCACTGAAGTTAAAACACCTCTAAACAGAATGAAAGATGACATCTTTTGTTATCTTTTAATAGATGTTTTAATTTCTCTGCTTTATGGAAAAATAAAGCTTTCTGTCTTATATTTTGTGCACTAAACCTAAATATCACATATTTAGAAAACTACAAGTGAGTTTTTACACTAAAGTGTATTTAAATCTTACTCTGTTCTATAAGAAGCACTTCCAGAAACTGATATAAAATTCATTTTTTAGTTTAGTAGTTTACTTTTTGAAAAGAAAAAAAGATTAAAAAGCAGAAATGAGCAGAAGTCAAAATATTCAATGCATAGTAGAAACAATACCATATCTTAAATCTATAGTCTGTACAGTTTGTGTGGAGCAGGAAAATAACTTTTGGGAAGAGTCTGGATTTGAGCTTACAGATATTACTTAAAATTGAAATATTTTTCTTGAGCCATGTAAGTAGCTTTTGTCTGCTGTGAATAAATACATATATGATTTACATTAAACTTGATTCACTTTTCAAAAATTATGTTTTTTAAATCTAAAGCATCTTTTAATTTGACCACCTTAATTTTATTATGAATTATGTGCATAAACATTATATTAGCCCTGTAAAATACAACGGTAAAATCTGGCAAGTAATATGAGTTCCATGTACACATTTTTAAATGACCTTAAACCTGCCCCAAGTGGAGTAATAATTGTACACAATGTGATGATTGAATTAATACTGGCACAGTAAATCATTAACAGAATGCTTTCCTGATGCTCTAAATTATGTCAGTGTAATTTCTTCTCTGAAATGTTCCACAAGCCTGAGAACTATCCTTTTCCCCCTCTGGGTACAGTGAACTATGGGATCACTAAAGGCGAAGGACAGCCTCTTCATCCCGAGCTGAACAGAGCTCTGGACAACTGTAACAGTCTCCGGATGTCTCCCGTGAAAGGGATGCCCGAAAAGGGAGAACTGGATGAACTGGGAGATAAATGTGACAGCAACGTATCCAGCAGCAAGAAGCGAAGACACCGAACCACCTTCACCAGCCTGCAGCTCGAGGAGCTGGAGAAGGTCTTTCAGAAAACCCATTACCCGGATGTATACGTCAGAGAACAGCTTGCCCTGAGGACGGAGCTCACGGAGGCCAGAGTCCAGGTAGGAGCCAAAGGAAGGACTTGGGTGTGTGTGTTGGGGTGTGTGTGTGTGTGTGTGTGTGTGTGTGTACATTCTGTTAGAATAATTCAATGGTTGCGTTTTTCCAAAAGAAAGAAACTGATTTTCGAACTAAAGACATAGAACAATGTACTAAATACATGTAGGTCTATTAAAATGTCTTCCTTGCAAAGGGTTTAGTCATTCACACAAAAATATAAAAGAACATTTGACTTATTACATAGATATACAAATTAACGATTATTTAAAATGAAGGGAATATCACAAATATCTCTGATTTAAAAAATTAATTTTTAAAGGACAAAAAAGTCCCAGAATCATAGCTATCTATGTATTAATTCATTTATTTTATTTTTCCATTTTATCAGCCATTAAGGTTCTTTTTACATTATGTACCAGGTGTTGGTAAGTTATTTGTGCAATGGCCCATTAATGTGTAATGTTATTGAGATTGGGGTTATAATAAAGAGAAAAAAGTGAAACAATCCCACAAATTCCCAATTGTATATAAACCATAATTTATTTTCATTATGCATAAAGATCATATGGCTCTCCTAGTTTTTCTATCTCCCATAGTTGCCAAAAGTGCCATTCCATTTTAATTTTTCAAAGTAGATGGCTTATATCTCTTTCGCAGAGACAAAAGGAATAAGGCTCTTGAAGTAAGTTTAAAATATATACTCAATTACCTTTATAAGTTATTTTCAAATTATCAAATTGGATGGTCCAATATACTAACCTTTTAAAATCATTTGAAATAGAAAAGTTATTCTAGGTAAAACTCTACCTCATAGACATATTTTTAATTTTACTAGAGTTGGTATTCTTAAACTATGTTTTATTCTCAAGGAGCAGCAGTTTCAGGCAATGGCTTCTTTCTTTGTGTTTTTACTACACTAAATGGGAAAATACTGAATTTTGCAAATCCCATGAAATTTGAGAATAGGGTAATGAATAAAATAGTGAGAAATTTTGTTCTGGAATAAATAAGAATAAGATTTCTTCTGAAGATTAAGTTATTGTAAGACATTTACATCATTAAAGTCACCATGTGGGGGTGTGGGATACCAAGCAGCAGGATTTTTCTTTAGTTTGTGGAGACAAATCATTTATCATAGCTCAGGAAGTAAAGATATGGAAAGGTGATGCTAATGAAGAATTTTAGAATTGTCAAGTATTAATACTAGTGCCACATGTGTTGTTTTTTGTTGTTGTTTTCTCTTGTGTTCATATATTTAAATTAGTTCTACTTGTAACCATAGAAAAATATGTTTACATATAGAGTGATCAGCTGTGTGCAATGGATGTTTTCTCCTTAACTTTCCTTAACTCCTGATTAATTTTTGTCCAGAAACATGCACAAAGAGCCAACCCAAACCTAATTTACTCAGGTTTTCTCTATCCTGCTTTTCATACCAGTGTGGTAATTCACACCTATTTTAAGGAGACTTGTAAAGACCTTTTTCTCAGTGAAAAACAAAAAACAAACAAAAAATACCCCTCAGTACTCAATTCCCTTGCTATGCTCCTGGTGCCTGTGGAGACAGCAAGAAAATATTTTGTTTTGTTGTTGATGTTGTTTTGAGCCCTGGGCATTGTGTGTAATACATCTTTCATACAAACTAAACTGAACAGGTAGCTCTCATTGCCTTATTTTAATTGCTGGAAACTCTATATAAAGTCCTATCTTAAATTTGCAATACATGGTTGCATGTATTAAATTGAAGGCTAATATGTTTCTATAAGTGTGATGGTAAAGATATAGAAGATTACAGCTGAATACGAAGAAGAGTAAAAATTTCAAGTAAATTTTAACAATTTGTATTTTCATATGTGATTTCCTGCTTTTCTAAGTTTTTTTTTGTATTCTGAGCACACTTTTGTAAAGACTGAAGAGCTTTTTGACAGCTGCTCGTGAAATGTCTGCTCAAAAATATCTAATGCATACTGAATATAATTTTCTGTCTCTTTTTAATTCATTAAAAGATTAAAATGAAGATTCTGGAGAGCTACAAGTGTGAATTAGTGATTATTTAACCCTCTGAAGAAGGTGCTTATGATAAATATTATTATTATATAAAGAAATTTGGATGATAGCTTAATGACCTAGTAGAGGCTGTACTAACACATAGGCTTTCTTAATACTTGGTTATAACTTCCCTAGTTCTTTTATTATTTATATTACCTGTAAGTCTTTCAGATTGAATAAATGATTTTGAAGATTTCTGAGCATTTTCTCAGCATCTTCCCTAAGATGAGTATTACAAATGGTGTAGTTTATGTAATAAGCATACTTGTACATTTTAGAACCAGAATTCAATTTCAGATGGTTCCATTTACCTATAGTCTTTTTTATGCTCAATATAATATGTAATCTTAATACTTTCTGTTTCTAAATAATCATGATATTTTTGCCATTGCCATGTGTTTTGGATATAACATTTATGTTTAAATTTTTCTAAGATTATCTAAGTGTGGGTACAACCCAGAAAAGTCTCCACTTTGTGACATGTTTTAAACATAATTGTTTTGACAGACCCAGATATTAATTTGGTTATATTTTGGCTGGATTAATGTTATGTGCATAACCCCAAACTAAAAAGTTATGAATGTCTTCCAGATTTGCAGCATTCTCTAAGAGAAGCATTATCTATGATAATTTGGAGACATAAGGAGTCTTCAAAATCATGTAATCTAATTCCTTTTTATCTTCCAAAATGAAAAAAAAAACCCAAAAACCTAGAGGCTGAAACACATTAAATATTTTTAAAAAATATCTCCTCCCTTTCTATTAATTTATACTGCCCCTTGTCAGGTTAAAATAAAAAGTAAAATTTATGGATACTTTTCTTACAGATTTCTTTATTAGCGATTTTGTTGACCTGGTTTGTATCTTTTCGGATTTGTGTCTTTTAATGTCACCATTGCATTATCAGGTATTTTTCAGCTGACATTCTACTTTTTTTTAAAAATTAGGTTTGGTTTCAAAATCGAAGGGCCAAGTGGAGAAAAAGAGAACGTTATGGCCAAATACAACAAGCAAAAAGCCATTTTGCTGCCACCTATGATATATCAGTTTTGCCAAGGACTGACAGCTATCCACAGGTATGGTAAACTTTACAGAATACTGACTGAGAAAAACAGATGTGGTTCATATATTCCTAGAAGGGCTATTATCATTGGCTTTAATATAGCTAATATAATAGTCAATAATGAAAATTTTAATCTCCAGAAGACTTTTTGCATGTTTGTTAGATTTTCATTAGACTGAAATATTTATTTTATGATTATTTTCTTTCAGAGCCATTCATTCAAAACTATGTCCTTATTATACATTGCAACAACTGAAGTAGCATCATTCATAGTATGACTAAGTCTTTTAAGTACTCTACATTTTAACTATTCAGACTCACTTCCTTTGTTAATTTTTAAAAATATAGTATTGCTTGGCACGTCGTTTCTGTGGCTAACGTTCTATGAACCATCCTATAACTTAGTGTCAAGTGTGGTCCATGAAAACTTCAGTCTCATTTTAAAAAGGTCTCTCTTCCTATGTTGTCTTCTCAGCTTTGAAGTTACACATTGTTTCAAGGAAACATTTAGCCCTTTGTTACTTAAAGCATACATAGAATTAGTACTGGACATAGTTTTAAAAATGTATCCATCCTTTTATAATGGGAGCTTTCATCTCATTTTAAAGAGTGTTTAGACATTTATTTTCTTCTCATTTTTTCCATTTAACTCAGATTTTTTTTCTTTTCACACATATAATTAAGGTATTATTTTTTCCTAATACTGAGTAACAGTATTCTAAACTGTATTTGATACATGATAAGGAACACTTGTATTCTAAGGAACAAGGCATTTGTTATTTCATTCCTTACTGCTGAAGTATATGCATTGTTAGAGACCATTTTTAAAAATTTTTTTAAGTTTATTTATTTCTGAGAGATGGAGAAAGATAGAGTGCAAGTGGGGGAGGGGCAGAGAGAGAGGGAGACATAGAATCCAAAGCAGGCTTCGGGCTCTGAGCTGCCAGCACAGAGCCTGACTCCGGGCTCGAACCCCGAACCGTGAGATTATGACCTGAGCCAAGTCAGACATTTAACTGACTGAGCCCCCAAGCTCCAAGAGAGCATTTTGAACACAAACACATGACATATATGCTGGTAGAACACCGTGTTAGTTCAGTAACCAAATCTTCACAACCCCAGACTTAAGGGTTTTTATTCATTTCAACTATAAATTCAAACCTTGTGAGCATGAATTCATCCTTCAGTTTTGTGCATGCTTGTGTTCTCATGCCTTTTATGATACTTAAAAACCTATTTTAAGACCTTCACTCTTCCACATAAATTCACCAAATTAATTAATATAATATTATATGTGAGTAAAAGCCTTAGAGATCACCTAGTTCAGTCCTTCTAAAAGTTAGGAAACAAGACCCTTGGGAGCGAAGGAATTGTTCTGTGAACACATGAGTGGTTCCTTCTAAGACAGTCTATAAAGGGCTGTTACCGCTAAGCCTTCCCACTGGAGTTTACTAGAAGACCAGCAATACCTTTTGAAGACATGTCCATACCTGCCTTCAGAAAAACCTTGTTTTTCTTACTCTTCAAAATTTATCTTAAAGTAGTACCTTTGTTTTTTCTCCAGTTTAAAGGCATGCATATACTACTACTTACCATCATAGGGCTAATGAACTTGTATTCACCAAATATTGTTGAGTGTCCTAGTTGAGTTCTGAACAAAGTGCCATGAGGAAGTTTCCCCTGTTGGCTATAAGCTTCATTAGAATAGGCACTGCAGTGGTTTCCTACTTGTTAACACACCACAGCCCTGACTATACCAGACACTGTTCTAACTAGGTTACATACATTAACTCATCTAATCCTGACAGCAGCCTTATGCAATGGGTGTTATTAATTACCCTCATTTGTCATATGAGGAAACTGAGGCACAGAGAGGTGCCTAGTGGAGACACTAGTGGAGAAGCCCAGATTTGATCAGAGGCAATCTGGCTCCCAAGTGTAAGATCTTAACCCTCACAATAGACTGTTTCTTCCGAAGACTATGTTTAAATGATTGAATAATTTATAAATGAATACCAAAAGAGCACAAGGCTTAAACAAGTCTGCAGTTTAGTTCAGGGAAGCATAAACTTTACTCAGAACAAGTGAAATAATGAGTATAATAGAGATAGTACATAGTTTATAAAATTTTGAACTACTTCACTGTGATGAATTTAGAAATAATAAACTTACAAATTAGTGAACTCTTTTTAAATGGACTTTAAACAGTCTTACTCATCTGTTCTACAACACTTGACTATGATATATATATACATGCATGTATATATATATATATATATATGCATGTATATATATATATATATATATATATATATTTTTTTTTACATCTTATTATTTCGATCTTCATTCCTTTCCTTGCAAACCCCATTTCAGTGTGTGTGTGTGTGTGTGTGTGTGTGTGTGTGTGTGTGTGTTTTCTCCCCACTTCTCTGTGCTTTGCCAGTGGTTGCCTTATCTTTAACTTCTCTTTCTTCTTCTGTATAACATAAAACATTTAGAATAGTGCCAGGCACAAACTAAACTTTTATAAGGACATCATATCATTTCATGCTTTTTTTCTAAGATTATCTTACCATTGTGTTATTGTGCCTCACAGCTTTAGACACATCAGTTAACAGAATGAGGTAAGTAGATCAAGTAGGAAGGGAGATGGTACAATCACATTATATATTTGATAGAAAAATATCGCCTCACAAATCATGAGAATTTTGCACAAATTCTCCCTGTGGTTTTCTCTGTAACTTATGTACATTGGTTATACTGCCTCATAATTTAAGTATGGCAGCACAACCATCACAGGTTGAAGTTGTTCTGACAGTATAAATTATTGACAACAATAAAAATCAATACTATAAAATCCATAGTAATTTTTTATATTTAGAAGTCTTTAGTTTTTATTTTTTAATTTTTTATTTCTGAGAGAGAGAAAGAGGCATCGTGAGCAGGGGAGGGTCAGAGAGAGAGGGAGATACAGAATCTGAAACAGGCTGCAGGCTCTGAGCTGTCAGCACAGAGCCCGATGCGGGGCTTGAACCAACGAACTGTGAGATCATGACCTGAGCTGAAGTTGGAGGCTTAACCCCGTTAAGCGACTGAGCCACCCAGGCGCCCCTATTTAGAAGTCTTTAAATGATTTGTTGCCAAAAATTCTGAAACCAAGTGTCTCTCATTCCCCATTGTGGGTATTGGATAAAATTAGGAAAAGTCCATTTTAACTTAAGTATGTGATTGACTTTTTTATTTTGCAAAAAATAATTAAACCAAGATCTTGTCTGTCAAGCTTCAGCCTAAAGGAAACTTTTTTTTTTAAATCATGTGTCTTGAAAATAAGAATTATAATCAGAAAAACAGGATCCGAAATAGAATCCAACAATTCAATACAATAAGACACTAATCTTGGTTATTGTTACTAATTATAGAAAAACATATTAATTACCAAAGAGTTGGAAACAAGAAAACTAGAAGCAGGACAGAAATAAAGAATTAACAATTTGTTAGGAAAGCAAAAACATACATAGAAAAACATGAAAAACAGAAATGGTTGAGAAAATGATATCAGGTCTGCTCAGTGTGGATGATAATCTTGTCAACTATGGAGGTATCTATATATATAATACATAATTGGTTTAGTTATGAATACTAATTAGCATTTTCTAAAGTGTTCTAAATTCTTTGTGCCTATTGTTCTCATTAGAAAATAGTAACAACAGCCCTAAGAGTAAAAATAATACCTATCAGTGGAGGGCTTATTTTAAGCCAGGCTTCTTTCCTACAGCTCTTAACTCATTAAATTGAAATCCAGGGATTCAGAGTTCTTTATGCAACATTATCTCTTTAACCTATCACTCAGCAATGAACTAGTTCAAGTTTGATCCTAAAACACCAAATCACTTCAGAAATCAAGAAATGCTTTCCTTTTTTAAATGTGTAAAATGATGATATAAAGCAGTTTAAAAATGTAGACACTTTCCAGGCTGTTTTCAGGTATTTTTCTTAATCTTGTTCATATTTGATAGCAAAGAGTGGGAAGTGTGTCAGTAGTAGTATACTTTAAGGTAGTATATTTTAATGTACTGAAAAAACAGTATCTGTTTTTTTAAAAGCCCTTTATTTTGGCTCACAATATCACTTGTCATTTGGCAACACTCTGAGTTAGTTTAATGAAACTACTTGACTACTTGATGTTCTCCAGTATCTTAAACAGCAGTCACATGCTGAACTTACTCCTTGTGCTGTGCTGATCTGATCCCTCTATCTTCAATTCCCTTCCCCTCACCTAAAATGTATTTTCTCCAGGAAACATTCCCTCAAATCTCCTTCAATCAGCACATGACTTTTTCCCTGACATAGTGGTGGATTGTATACGGTCCACCCCATTTTTAATATAGCATAATTATATTTTAAAGAGATATTTGGTTATTATCTTTGTATTACAACAGTAGTAAGCAAATTATATATACACTGAAGAGATGTGAAAAAAAGTAGTTTCACTTCAATATTCTGGGAGACATTATGAACCCAAAATTAATTTCAGTAAAACAGGTAATTTCTGAATCTCTGATATTAACTGTCTCTGTACTGTTAAGCAGTTAACTTCTCCTCTCTGAGTCTCAGTTTCTTCCTCTGTTAAAAGGAGTAGATTAGGAATATTTTGCAGAACCCTTCTGGATTAATTTTTTTTCTTCCAGAGTTCATTGTATTTTAGCCAACAAATATGTGCTAGGTGCTGTTTTAGGCACAGAGGTTATATAAATTTTCCACACAAAATCTCTTGCTTTTTGGATGGATTACAAACTAGGTGATATTCATACTCAGTTCTGCAGACACTTCTGGATGCAAACTATACCCAGCAGATCAAAAAGGCCTGTATAATTCTGTCTTTGAGTTAAAAAAAGCAGGCGTCTATCACCAGTAGATTCTAATTTGCTTTTAATTCATTAACACCAAAGCATTTCTTTAAGTAATTACTTTGTTGAATAAAATATTCTGTCAAGGTATAAACACTTTTTAGAG